CTCCTGCAAGAACATCTGAAACTGGCGGTGATTCAGGCCGCGCGCCCGAATAAAGTTGACTGTTTTCGTGACAGTGTCATCACATTATCCAGCTCCAGAACCTTTCCACACAGCGCTTCCTGATGGATAAGGCAATGATACGTGATCAGCGGCGTCTGATTGTTGCTTTTTTGCATTTTTTCCTTCATTAGTCCAACCAAGCCTGTTTTTCCTCCACAGATCGCAGGTGCACCGTCTGTAGTTAGTCCCACCAACCTTTCCCACGGCAATTTATTTTTACCGACAGACTTCTCCACTGCATCAAAAATGTCCCGGCCGGTTGTGGTTCCATGCAGCGCCACTATATCCAGGAGCTCCTCGGTTACAGACAGGTCTGGCATCACCCCTCTAATAAAAATGGACAAATGCGCCGTATCCACGTTGTCTGTGCTTTCATCCACAGCTAATGAAAAAGCTAGACAGCAGCCCATTTCTTCAGCCAGCTGTGTCGCTATATTTCCGGCAATGTCCTTAACTCGTTCCGCGATGGTATTTCTTGACAAACTGACATTTTGGAAAGTCTGTACTTTTTCGGGACACACCTGCTCACACACCTTTAGCATACACTGCTTCAAAAATGCACCCTCCGAAAAAGATTTTGAAGCTCGGGCGATTTCTTCAGCTACAATAAAGCTTGCTTTCACCGCTGCATCATTTTTGGCTGTGGCTTTTGTAAACAATTTCTGCTGCATTTGCAATCTGCCTTTTAAATCTGCTGCAATTTTTTGTTTTTCTTGAAGGCTAAATTTCGCGTACTTAGCTCTGTGTTTTGTTTCAAAATGCCGACGTATATTGTATTCTTTCACAACGGACACTGCCCCAGAACACAAAAGACATACTGGTTTTTCACCTTGTAGTACAAAGAGGTATTCGTTTTCCCATCGTTCATGAAACAGTCTTCCTTGTAAATCGATTTTTTTCTTCTTAGACATTTTGATGTTAGCTTGTCGATGTTTCAGTTTTATTCGCTGGGAAAATTAATAATCAACTTGATGTGACTCTGCTGCACTCTAGTGGCGAGAAGCCCTAATGGTGGCTGGTAAATATTGGAAGGCATTATGGGAGATGTAGTTTGTGGTCAATTTGTGCTCAAAGCCTATTTTAAGTCAATCAATAGCCCTGTAAAACGGTGGTGGGGGGGAGAGGGCCACATAAAATCACGTAGCGGGCCACACGTGGCCCGCGGGCCTTGAGTTTGACACATGTGCCCTAGAAACACTCAGGCGATGGGTTAGCAGTAAATGTGATAAAGTCCATCATGATACCAAGAAACGTGACCTGCTGAGACAGAATCAGGTTGCTCTTCTGCAAGTTCACACGAAGACCCAATAGGTCTATGTCATTAGCAAGGTGCGTGTGTCTGCAGCAGCTTGAGTTTGTGTGATGAGCCAGTCGTACAAGTAAGGCAGGATCTTTAATCCCTTGGCCTGCAGAGGACACAAGGCTGCAGCCACACAACCCCTGAACACATGTGGGGACAGAGAAAGGCAGAATGGAAGAACTCGGAACTCAAAATGCTTGCCCTTAAATGCAAAGCAGAGAAACTGCCAATGCTGTGGTGCAATTGGGACATAAAAATATGCGTTCCTCAAGTTGACCAAGGTGAACCAGTCGCCAGGGGAGATTGCGTGAAGCACATCTCTGATGCTCAACATGTGGAATGAGATGGTCTTCAAGAAAAAATTCAGACCTCTCAGGTCCAAAATTGGACAGAGTCCCCCAGTCTTTTTCGGGACTAAAAAATACTTTGAGTAAAAGCCCACTGGATCCCGCAGGGGGTCGACGGGCAATATAGCACCCTTGGCCGGCAAGGTGTCAATCTCTTGACTCAGAGCGTGACCCTTTACCTGGTCATAAATCACTGTCATCCTGACTCGACCAGGAACAGGAGGGCGGCAGAACTGTAGCGCGTAACCCCCGTAAGTGTACACACTGCCCAAGGAGTTAGAGCGGCCCAGCAATTGAGCTGGTCCGGGATAAAGTGTCCCAACGCCAGCCAGTGATGTCATCTCCGAGCCCCCCTGCCCATAGGGGGGTGGGAGGGTTGCCAAGTGGCCATGGGCAGGTCTTGCAGCAGGCCCTGCAGCAAGCCGTGGCTACCCCAAGCAGGGCGTATTATGGGCAGGATAAGTGCACAATAGAGACGCAGAGGCACTCCAAGCAGGATGTTGCAACGCAAAGCCTGAGCCGACCGCTCCAAGGCTGCAAGCGCAGAGGAGCCAAACAATTCTCCAGAAACCGATGAAAGGCCCATCAGGGTCCTTATACACAATTCCGTCAAAGGAGAGTGAGCCAGCCAAACCTGACATGGTGCCTGAACAAGGGTAGAAAGGACAGTTCCAATTTCCCTCGACAGAAGAGCAAACCCATAGAGAAATGCGTCCATCATTCCCTGAGTAGGCGCATCGATCGTGACACCCTCCAAAGAAGCTGAGATACCCAGCAATAAATGTGACAGAGAATTACCAAGTCACCCCAAACGAGACCCAAAGTCATAGGCTCTACAGAGCAGTTCATCAGTGACACGGCCCTGAGGACAAGGACACCTGGCATTAGCTGTAAAAGCTTCATCTGGCACCACAATGAGGGAAGCTATGGCCGGCTCAACAGAAGGCATATGGCCCAAGCCAAATTTGGTCACATCTTCCATGGCTGCCAGTGCCCTGCAATCAGAGGTCGGCCGTGAAAAGGCCTTAGTGTCTGACCAACAGGCATGGACCTCCTTCACGTATTCAGCAGATGGGGGAACCATAAGGGATGACCTAGCAGTAGGACATCGAAAGAATGCACTGGAAGTAGCAGGTTGGTCCTTTGGAGCATCCAGCTGCAACTGGACAAGAGCAGTTCTCAGAGCGCCCACCATCAAACCATCCTCCTCCAACTGAGAGCCAGAAGAGACACGCGAGCTGGCTTCTGAGAGAAGTGAGCCGGGGTCAAAATTATCCCGAAAATCAGTGCCAGATGCTGCCAGAGATATAGCATCGTCATCAAAAGCAGAGAGTCCCGAACCAACTCTCTGCCCTTGGTCAGGGTCTCCAGTCAGGCTAGCGTTACCCCTAAGGGATTCGAGCAGCGCTTTCATCCTCTCCAGCTCAGAAACGAGATGGGCCACTTGCCCAGATAGGCCCTGTGAAACCCTGGAGCTCCTCTTGGTCCTCTTCCATGGAGGCCCCATAGCCTCAGAAGCAAAATTTTTCACAGGCTGGATAGTGCCTAGAACGCCAGCCAAACGAGCATTATATAGGGACAAGGTAGGACAGAACAATTAGGACAGAGTACATCAGTCAATGCCTCTTTCAGGTGATCCGGTCCCAAACAAGCGGGACACAAATCATGCCAGAGGGACCAAACAAGCTCTACAGCACAGCGCGTCCAACATCTCATGCTCACAGGGCTAGGTCAGGTCGAGCTGAAATCGCCACTGTTGAAATTTAAACCAAGCGAACAGGTCGAGCAGAAAATGCCACCAGGGGTTCCCCAGCAGCAAGGCTGCAAGGAGGACTAGCCAAGCACGGCAGTGAAAGTAAAAAGTAAGCCCGAAAATGGCTGCTAAGCAACGAAATACCGGCAAGCTGAACACAGATGCACAGTAGACTTAAAAACAAAGCCGGAAAACGGCTGCTATCAGAAAATATAGGCAAACCTAAAAGCGGCTGCACAGTTAACAAACAAGCCAGAAAAACAGCTGCTATCAGTAGTAGGCAAGCCCAAAACGCCTGTAAGTAAATAAATAAGGCAAGCCCACGGCTGCCAGTTAACAAGCTGGTTGGAATCGGCTAATGCTCAGGCACCAGCAACATGGAGTCGGTGAGAACGCGTTCCCATTCCCATCGATAAGAAGGAAAAACTTACCAGACGAATAAACCAAGAAGTATTATGAAGAGCTTGCGCAGCCTCTGGAGAGCGAGATGATCGTTGCAGCTCTGACCTAAGTCTCATGGCTACCAGCGACAAGCAAAAGCAATGTCTTAACACCTGTTCAATCTGCATGCGAGAAGATGAAAAGGGACAAAGCTGTACTTGTCACGTGATTAGATAGGCTCACTGGTGTCACAGGGGGGTCACACATGACTATGTTGGTAGGCCAGTTTCGGAATCATCTTTCAGGAATCCGATTTGTTTCCCGGGATAGTTTTCCTCATGTGTCTCTGCTGCAGGAAAAAAAGCAAACTCTGAGAAAAACTCTTCCTTTAAAGACGGGGCTTGAGGAGATGTATGATGCTGTAGGAAGGACCCCAATCTAGAAACTTAGAGGTGGGAGGATGATGAATATCCAACTATAGCTAGCCATAGTTTAAAACACAGTTCAGCTTTACTGTCTGAACAGTTTTATCGTGTCATATTTTATATGTTATGATCTTGAAGTCGTATTTAAGGTTTGTTTTTCTTGTCGGCATCATCTGTCAGATCCCCCCTTCATCTCTTCATTCCTGCCACTGAATCATGAAGCTCCATTTACCTGAAACCAGCCTCTTTTTTCTCCTGTCCCTCCCTCTTTTTAGTTCTCAATTTCCTCTCCTTTATCAATGAACACTTGTTTTAATCCAATATTTGAGAGAAGTAATGGATTAAGAGAATATATCATGATCACAGGGACCACGTGAAGGTATTCCTATGTAATTGTTCCCCACAACGTCATAAAATCATGACAAAAAACACACTTTCCTGTATGGCCATAGGTAATGATGACCATACATTGACTCCTACTGACTTTAATATATTTTAAGACATTTTAAACCCTCTCTTTTCAACCCATGCCCAGACCATGACCTGAACCGAACCGTTACCTCACGCTAACCTTCACCTAAATTTAATACACAGCTTACTGAACTGAACAGTCAGCAAAAAGGGAGTGAGGAACAGCTAAATATCCTCACTTTGATGTTGAAATCAGAAAACTTGTCCTCAGTCTGATGTCAAATCAAAGACACACATGTCACTTTCAGATCAAACTTCCTTACATTTAGATGCAGCTGATTGGTCCAGTGTCCAATCACTTTGTACTCCGCTGCAGACATGTTGTTGATCTGATACTGGAAGATGTCGTAGCGTCCAGGAGCATCACCGTTCTCGTTGAAAGTCACTGGAGTCCCTGCACTTCCTGTAAAAATACACACAGCTACTGTAATTTAATTCAGCTTAGTTTATTTGTAAACAATTTAGCGCTTTTCAGATGAAGCGACTGATTAATGAACTTCTTTTTCAAAGACAGTAACTTGTCTTATCAGAAATCTAAAGTCATCCAGGTTTATATGTCCTGCAGACCTACCCATAGTCTATAGAACCCGAAAGTGGCCCCAGGAAGAATCTGCACATTTATGGCAAAATATAGCTGAGTATCATCAGCATAACAGTGGAAATTAATCCCATGCTGTCTAACAATTCTGCAGATTGGGAGCATATATATAGTAAAGAGAATTGGTCCTTGCACTGATCCCTGTGCCATTGGTAACCCTGAGGCTTGAGGAAGATTCATCAATAACATGAACAGAAAATTTTTCAGAAAAATCTGATTTAAACCAATCTAGAGCTGTTCCTTTATTTCCTACGGTCTTTCTAAAAGAATATTATGATCAACTGGATCAAGTGCGGCACTGAGATCTAACAGGCCAAGCACAGATAGGGTTAGGGTTAGGAGGAGATCAAAGAGAATACCTCCTTAAATAACCTGGTTGGAACTGGATCTAACATCCAAGTTGGCTTAGATGAAGACAATAGTTTCACTAACTGTGAAAGTTCAACTGGATCAACGCAGTCTAAACCTGGTTCAGATTCTATGGCTACCTCAGATTCTGCCGTAATATCTGAAGACATGGATAATGGGAAGGATACCATAGGTTTTCTTTTTAACTACTATAAAATCAAGCCTGTTTTTCTGTGTGAGACAGCTGTCATGCCATAAGCCATGACATGTATTTTGTAGACTGGGTGCCAATATCCAGGCTGATTTTCCTTGCAATCCTAAGCTTCACACCCCCAAAGCAAAACACTCCCAGAGACACATTGTCATGTTCTTGCCACTGATGTCTGGTCTGATGACTGATTTTACACACCTGCTTAGCTCCACCCAGTTCTGATTCAGCTAAGTCCAGTCATAAGTCTGGATTTAACCAGTCTTCAACCAATCATCAGTGGCAGATTAATTTGGAGCCTTTGGTGTGACTTATGGTAGCATTCTTGTATTCTGATTACCTGATCCTGACCTGTTTTGCCTCTCATCCTCTGAGCCTGCCTGTTCCCATCCGATCTGTTTACCTGACCTGTCTTCTGACTCCTGCCTGATCTCTGCCTACCTGTATACTGAGCAGAACCATTTCCCGATCACTGACTTTGCCTGCCCTCGTGCAACCTGTTAGCTCCACTGTGTACCCTTAACTGTGACCTGACTCCATCTGGATTCTCCTTTGGCACCTCACCAGGTCTATGACCTCCTGACTACGACAACTCACCATGTCACCAACATTGGCTTTGACTTCGCCCTCTGAATAATCCTGCCTTTGCCCATCTGCCCAGTTCTGATCTGCTACCTGTCCTCCGACACAACAGTGTCTGAGACTCTTTCTGCAGCTATTGCTGTGCAGTGTTCGCAGCCCTTTGGCCGGAACATCCTGGTCTCAAACTGCACTGTAAGACCAGGCTAGTGATTCACTTGTTTGTGATCATCCACTTCCAGAAAGACTAACTGTTAGAAAAATGTATATGTTTTTCATTTTATTTTTAAGTTATAGAGATCTGGCCCGCCAGGAATGTTAAGTGTTGTTCTAAATGGGGAGAACAAATAATTCTCTCAGGGCCTGGTATTATCCAGCTATGCTGCCGTAGGTGACAGATAACTTCTGACCCCTCCTGGTAACTTCTGACCACTCATGTTATTCTTTTGAAGTCCGATAATAAAAGCAGCAGGAAGAGAGGTTCTGGCAGAGTTGACCACAGACTCCTTAGTAACTTGTGTGTTGTGTTGGTCTCATTTCTAGGACAATATGGGGTTATGTTTTTAATCCTATCACTAACCTGCTGTCTCCACCATCCAACCCGGTTCTGTTTTAAAAGAATATTTTGAGAAATCTGTTTTTCCGCTTTGAACACTGGAGCCTTAATTTCTGACCCTGACAGAATAATCGCAGCCGCACGTGGATCCATCGGCAGACAAACATCAACATTCTGGCATGGATAACTCTCAGCCTGAGTCAGGCATGCGGTAGATTCTAGCTTACGCAGTCAGGCTATTCCCGCTCCTACAGTACCGCCTATGTCTGCTACCACTCCTACATCACCTGCTGAAAGACCGGTTTTGTCGGGAGCCGCATCTTTGTGTGGGGTTAAGACCCCTTAACCCCACACTGCTCCCAGGGTGCCGCACAATTGAAGCCCACTGCTCCTCAAGCGCGTGGGTTAAATGCAGAGAGGGAATTTTGCTGCTCTGTACATGTGACAGTGGAATGACAATAAAAAAAGCTGGAAACAAAATCACTCTGAATCCACTGATTCTGCTTTTTGTTGTTTCAGAGGGGGTGAGTTTAAATGTTGGGGTCATAATGTTATTGCTTTTTAATCCTTGTTAGTTTGATCCTTATGAGATGGAAAGATGCTGCCTGACCCACAGAAACACTGTCCATTAAGGATGTGTAATCAAACCTGGACAGAAGCTTAGGAGCAGGTTGGATTAAAGTGGCTGGTCTTTCTTTTGTTTGTTTTTTTGCTTTTTGTTCATTTGTTTCCCATTTGGCAAGTTTGGGATGTTTGTATGTGTGATGCCCACTAAGGTGTTAACACATTTGTGATAGTTTTTTCTGTAACATATGTATATAATGAAAACCCGCTTCATTAAAGATATAAAACATTAAATGCTGCCCTCATGATGCTCATCTATGTTCAAACAGGATTTCACACCAAAGGACTCACGGAAACCATCCTCTGCTAACTCTCCTAAAAATAACTCCATGGACGAGGAGCACTCGGCTGAGTTGGCATCTAACCCAGCGGCTGCTGCCGCCACAAAGTGCCACATTCACTCTAGATTGGCTGCATTATAGAAACAGACTGATGAGATATCCCGCTGTCCATGCTCACAGAGCTGAAGCATAAATAAAGGCGGGAGAAGCTCCACTTTGAATGAAGTCACTCTGTTTAATACATGTGGAGTTTAATGCTGTTTAAACTTCCACACAGGAAAACCCAAACACAGCCCAACATGGATGTGTGCTGGTTTTAATGGGCAGAGCTCAGTCAGGCACACAGATTCCATTAGTGACATGCTGCTGATCCAGAGCCGATGGACGCATTGAGGGGCAGAGGCGGCTCCAGAGATTCCTCTCTGCAGGGGGACAAAACATCCAACTGAGGGTGCACTGAAGCATCCTTTCCTCCTGCACTGTTTTAATGCAAACAGATCCAAACCAGGTCAGAGGTTTGTTCAGTACCCAGACATCTGCTAAGGTCTACAATAAGGTGGATAATGAACAGGATGCTTTCTGCTTTGATATTACAAATATATCAAGTCTAATCCATTCCACGTATTTCCAGATACTGGAAAACATAATGTAGTACATTCATTGTGAATTCACCAGCAACATTTAAAGCTGAAGTCTGTAAGTTTTTAAAAATCACTTTTTTGTCATATTGGCTAAAACTGTCCCTATGCCCAGACAGCAGTACATGTGATATGTAACCTGTGAAAAAAACTGCTTCAATTGGTACCGCCTACTGCCTGTATTTCAATCTGGAAAGAATAATTCGGGACGAGTCAAAACAACCAATCACAGCCAGAGGAGCGTCTGATGGAGTGTCAATCACAGCTCACACACGCTGAATCCCCCCCCTTCTGGTCGCATGCGGTAGCCGCACAGATGCTGTGAGAGGGGTGGAGCTTGGAGGTGGGGAATGAGTGAAGCAGAGAGGGTGGGGGAGTGGCGTGAAACCTGTTTTTCTTCAAATTTTCAGTCGAAGTCTGCTCTCTCCTCAATGTTACAGACTGCAGCTTTAATGAATAAACATGGAATTTGCTTTAAGTAATTTGTTAAATTACATTAACAAAATGACATCAAGACAAATCACATATGAAATACGGCAAAAATAATATTGCCAAAAAAAGCAACTTCCAAAAAAGCTCAAAATTAAAGAAGCAGAGATCCATAAGCAGAAGCCCATATTTGACCATAATAATTATGGAAAGCTCACTAAAATGTTTGCACAGGATGATTATTTGCCCCACCTGATATTTTTATGTTTTTATGTTTAAAAGTTGCGAACTTGATAAAAATAGAAATACTTTGAATTTATGTGAATGCAAATCACATATAAAACAATGGTAGAAAATAATTGTACATTATTACATTTTAAGTAATTGTGACCTTTAGATAACAGTAGTGACGGTGGCTGGACAGAAACACCACAAGATATTTTAACAGTTTAATTATTGAAAATATTAGAAAATAAGTTAGATTTTCTTAAAAATTCATAGTGAGTGCATTCTAGAAAAGGTTCTACCTACATAATATGTTTTTGCGCATTTAAATGTTTTTTAACCTAAAAGGTCTTTTTTTTATGTTGGGCCACAGACCATGGTGATAATCAAGGACTTGGAGGACCAATGTCCATGTGTAATCTTTGTTCACTAGAAGGGGACGTTTTTCCCCACAGTGCTGCCCTTCTTTCCAAGCTTCTGCAACCTTCCATCACCTCACTCTAGAAGACACTCCACAGAGGTGTACCGTGGCCCCCCATGGTGCCTTGAGGACAAAAGCAACTCTTACTTCTTTCCACACCCCACCAGTGAGACAGCTGGTCAGAACGCTCTCCATGGTGCTTCTGTAGAAGGTGGGGAGGATGGGTGGGGGCAGGTGGGCTCTCCTCATCCTCTGCAAGAAGTACATGCACTTCTATGCCCTTTTGACCAGTGTTTCCTGTCCAGGTGAGGGTGTCGGTGTGTGCACCCCCAGGAATTTGGTGCTGTTGACCACCTCTACAGCTGAGCTGTTGATGACCAGTGGAGCGTGGTTACTGAAGTCCACCATGATCTCCTTGGTCTTCTCCACATTCAGGATCAGGCTGTTATCTTTGCACCAGTCCACCAGCTGCTACACGTCCTCTCTGTAGTCATCCAGACGTTCCAGGCTCAGGTGAAGAGCAGAGGAGATGGCATCCTCAATGGAGCGGTTCATGTGTCATCAGGTTGAACAGCAGGGGGCTCAGGACGCAGCCCTGAGGGGTGCCTGTGCTTAGACTGATGACATCAGAGGTGTTCTGTCCGACCCGGACTGACTGAAGTCTGTTGGTGAGGATGTCTAGCAGCCAATAGCAGAGGGGTGTATTGAATCCCAGCTGTTCCAGTTTGCCCATCAGATGCTCTGGGATGATGGTGTTGAAAGCTGAACTGAAGTCCAGGAACAGCATCCGCACGTGGGTGTTCTTCTCCTCCAGGTGGGCCAGGCTCAGGTGGAGAGCAGAGGAGATGGCGTCTTCAGTAGAGCGGTTCTGTCGGTAGGCGAACTGGAACGGGTCGAATGTTGGCGGAGGTGACCTGAGGATTCTTTGGGACTGGAATAATGGTGGCAGACTTGAAGCATGCTGGCACTATGGATTGATCCAGCAAGGTTTTGAAGATGTCTGTGAGGACACCAGCCAGCTGATCTGTACACTCTTTATACACTCGCCCAGGCCCTGGGGCTTTCCTTGGGTAGACTCTCCTCATAGGTGTATCCAGGCGGAGTGCCCCCTCTCCCTGGTGTGGAACAGCTTTCAGTGCTCCAGATATCCAGACTGACCAAGGCTGTTTTGATGGTTGACATTTCAGAACCAAACTGCTGCAAAACAGACTTTTTGCAAAATTTTTCTCTGAGTTCCAGAAGCTTTAGATGAAGACCTGATGTGTGGCGGTAACAAAGGAAACCTCCTGCTGTAAGGCTGCCATGCTAAGCTGCCAATGCTGGAGATATGGTCAGAGAAAGGCTCTGGCACAGCTAGGGACAGATTTTCCAGCTTAACAATATGTCTTCTGATGATTTGGATCATTTCATGGGTTTACTGCTGAGTAAAGACAAAGCTAACAGGATGGACTGCATGGTACGCAATGCTAACAGGTTGAAGAGTTATTCCAAAAAAAAACGAAAGCTAAAAAACAATCCACTGGACTTTGTTTCCAGGTTTGAAGACGTTTTGCTTCCTATCCAGTATAAAGCCTGGAACTCAACGCTATTTATGACATTTTGAATTGACAAATCCTACTGGATGGGAAGAGGAACGTCTTCAAACTTGGAAACAAAGTCCCGTGGATTGTTTTTTTTTTGGAATGACTCTGACCTGGATGACTGAGTATCTTCACCAGAATCTTCTCAGATATGACACAGTTGTTGAAATGAGTTGTAAACACCAAGATTAGAAAGTCTTTCAGTAAAGAGCAGTTTTGCTCAGATTAGGAGGAATTCTCAACTTTCTCCAAAGACAGACAAAACGTTGGAATGAAAACATAATGTTTTTCAACAGCTTCCAAACTTTTTTTTCAAAAACTCACCTCTTATCGGAAGAGTTCTACATACAAACCATCTACAAATGACCATAAGAGGGCAGTATTAATTAAAAGGATGAATGAAGTTGTTTTCAGGCTCTCTTCCTAAAGATAATTAGTAAAACCTAAAGGAAATTATCACTATAAACCCTGAGGAGGAGATGACAGCGCTGCTAAGGAAGTGTGTTAAAGGTCACCTGGTACATGCAGAGCCTAACCCCTGAGCCTGGAGCCACTTTAACTCAGGGAAGTTATAGTTACAGCCTGCAGGGGGCATCACTTGCCCTCCACTAGGAACCACATCTGTTTCTACATTTAGAGTTCCTAACAGTCCTTCAGGTCACCAACCTGCTGGGATGTTAGCATTTCAAAGGCCATCATCCTGGAAACTCCTCATCAGCTTTTTGGTTTCAATAACTGAATATGGATTAGAAGATGGATTAAATGTAGAGTATTAGGCCAGCCCATCAGTCCGTCAGTCAGTCAGTCCGTCAGCCAGTTTGTCAGTCAGTCAATCAGTTAGTCAGTCCGTCAGTCAGTCAATCAGTCCGTCAGTCAGTCCGTCAGCCAGTTTGTCAGTCAGTCAATCAGTTAGTCAGTCCGTCAGTCAGTCAATCAGTCAGTCAATCGGTCCGTCAGACAGTCCGTCAGTCAATCAGTCCATCAGTCAGTCCATCAGCCAGTCTGTCAGTCAATCAATCAGTTAGTCAGTGCGTCAGTCTGTCACACAGTCTGACAGTCAGTCAGTTCATTAGTCAGTCAGTCCGTTAGTCAGTCTGTCAGTCAGTCAGTTAATCAGTTGGTTAGTCAGTCAGTCACACAGTCCGTCATTGACACAGTCCGTCAGTCAGTCCGTCATTGACACAGTCCGTCAGTCAGTCCGTCAGTCAGTCAGTCCGTCATTGACACAGTCCGTCAGTCAGTCCGTCCGTCAGTCAGTCCGTCAGTCATTCCGTCAGTCAGTCCGTTAGTCAATCAGTGCGTCCGTCAGTCAGTCCGTCAGTCAGTCAGTGCGTCAGTCCATCAGTCCATCAGTCAGTCCATCAGTCCATCAGTCCATCAGCCAGTCTGTCAGTCAATCAATCAGTTAGTCAGTGCGTCAGTCTGTCACACAGTCTGACAGTCAGTCAGTTCATTAGTCAGTCAGTCCGTTAGTCAGTCTGTCAGTCAGTCAATCAGTTGGTTAGTCAGTCAGTCACACAGTCCGTCATTGACACAGTCCGTCAGTCAGTCCGTCATTGACACAGTCCGTCAGTCAGTCCGTCAGTCAGTCAGTCAGTCAGTCCGTCATTGACACAGTCCGTCAGTCAGTCCGTCCGTCAGTCAGTCCGTCAGTCATTCCGTCAGTCAGTCCGTTAGTCAATCAGTCCGTCCGTCAGTCAGTCCGTCAGTCAGTCAGTGCGTCAGTCCATCAGTCCATCAGTCAGTCCATCAGTCAGTGCGTCAGTCCATCAGTCAGTCAATCAATCAGTTAGTCACACCGTCCGTCCGTCAGTAACACCGTCCGTCCGTCAGTCACACCGCCCGTCCGTCCGTCCGTCAGCCGTCAGCCGTTTTTTTTTTTTTTTTTTTCAAAAACAACCAATAATAAAAAAGAACTTAAGAAGATCACAGGTGGTCAAAGGAAGCTGAGGAAGCTCTGCAGGACTTCTATGAGACAACAGACAGTGGTCCATTTTCATTTCAGTGCCATGACTGATTATAATAACTGCAGATAAAACCACCAGTGGGTTCCACCTGCAGTAACACCGAGACACCAGTGACCAGAAACAACTGCAGCTTTCAGGGAATTATTGAGGAGAACGCAGAAGTAACTAAGCTCTGGTCAGGCTTGGAGACCATGATGTTCACAGGAAGAAGCTAGATGGCACGCAATAGATTATTATTATTAACAGCGCTGCAATATACTGAAAATATTTAATGTTGACTGGACTGGTGTTGATGTTTTCAGTTAAACATAATTCTCAAATAAACAAATATATAAATAAATAGTTGAAAGCCATTAACCATAATAACAGAGCATCAGAAATCAATTTGTTCTGTAACCTTTAGTTTTTATTAACAGGACTGTTAGTGAAATACTCCCCTACAGCCAGCAGTGGGTCTTACCATTGAAGTTGACCCCGTGGATCTGGGCCAGCAGTTCCTTGCCATCGATGTTAGCCATGCGCGGACACAGCCCGGGGCGCCCGGCACACAGCTCATGGTGCATGTGGTGGAGAGCGTGTGCCATGGCGTAAACAGCATCCATCACAAACTGCACTTTTCCCTCCTGCTCATAAATAGAGTCACGGCCAACCTTCTCCAAGCCTGGAAGAGAAACATCACACATCTGATGAGATGAAGGAGGAGATCTAACCCTTTACCTGGAAACAACTGATGCCCAATCCCTTTAGCAAACAAAGAACAGATTAAACCTGAAAATGTCATGGTCCTGGTCTGATTGTTCCTGTTATCCATTTGTTGTCCTCTGCTGCCCTCTTGTGTCCTCCCTTCCTCTGTTTCTCTGTCCTGCCAAGCACCTGCTGCCAATTTCCTCGTCAGCTCTCTCTCTGTCTCTGTCCCCTTTAAAAGCCCTCCCTGTTCAGTTCCTGTTTGCTGGATCCTCGTCAAACATCCTGTCTAACTTCTGTCTGTGTACCTCATCCCTCCCTGGCTCCTAGTTTGGATTTACCACTGATGTCTCCTTGGTTCAGGTTCGTTTGCTGTTTACTTTTGGACTCTGATTCCTGCTCCTGGATCTGTGAACTTTAATAAAACCACTTTAATTCACCTCTGCCTACTGGTCCCTGCGTTTGGGTCCTCCACACAAACAGTGACTCATGACAGAAGGATCCAGCCACAACATGGACCCAGCAGAGAACCAGGCATGTGAACTCCTCAGCCCTCCCCATATACAGGAGTCTGACCTGTGGAGCTTTTTTTATGGGGAGAGAGAAGATTTTTTTTTGTTCCTGCCACCGCCATCAGCTCCAAGAGCCCCTCGGCGGGGGCTCCAAGCCTCCAAGGCCCCTCAGCGGGCGCTTAAAGCCTCGAAGGCCCCTAAGCGGGCCCCCCAAGCCTTCAAGTCCCCCTCCATGGTGGTTCCTGTGCCGCAGTGGGCGGCCCCTTCGGAGGCTGTTCCTGAGCCGCAGTGGGCGGCCCCGTCCGAGCCTGATCCTGTTCCTGAGCCGCGGTGGGCGGCCCCGTCCGAGCCTGATCCTGTTCCTGAGCCGCGGTGGGCGGCCCCGTCCGAGCCTGATCCTGTTCCTGAGCCGCAGTGGGCGGCCCCGTCCGAGCCTGATCCTGTTCCTGAGCCGCAGTGGGCGGCCCCGTCCGAGCCTGAACCTGTTCCTGAGCCGCAGTGGCCGGCCCCGTCTGAACCTGTTCCTGAGCCGCAGTGGCCGGCCCCGTCTGAACCTGTTCCTGAGCCGCAGTGGGCGGCCCCGTCTGAACCTGTTCCTGAGCCGCAGTGGGCGGCCCCGTCTGAACCTGTTCCTGAGCCGCAGTGGGCGGCCCCGTCTGAACCTGTTCCTGAGCCGCAGTGGGCGGCCCCGTCTGAACCTGTTCCTGAGCCGCAGTGGGCGGCCCCGTCTGAACCTGTTCCTGAGCCGCAGTGGGCGGCCCCGTCTGAACCTGTTCCTGAGCCGCAGTGGGCGGCCCCGTCTGATCCTGTTCCTGAGCCGCAGTGGGCGGCCCCGTCTGATCCTGTTCCTGAGCCGCAGTGGGCGGCCCCGTCTGATCCTGTTCCTGAGCCGCAGTGGGCGGCCCCGTCTGATCCTGTTCCTGAGCCGCAGTGGGCGGCCCCGTCTGATCCTGTTCCTGAGCCGCAGTGGGCGGCCCCGTCTGATCCTGTTCCAGAGCCGCAGTCGACGGCTCCCTCTGAGGCTGTTCCAGAGCCGCAGTCGACGGCTCCCTCTGAGCCTGTTGCAGAGCAACAGAAGCGGAGGCGGCGTCCTCCCCGGCGCATCCTGCTGAAGCGGGGGCGGCGTCCTCCTCGGCGCATCCTGCTGAAGCGGAGGCGGCGTCCTCCTCGGCGCACCCTGCTGAAGCGGAGGCGGCGTCCTCCTCTGCGCATCCTGCGGAGGCGGCGTCCTCCTCCTAGGTTTCTGCTGCATTGGAGACGCCGGCCTCCAGAGCGTCTCTCTCAGCTCCGGCCCCACGGCCGGCCTCCAGAGCGTCTCTCTCAGCTCCGGCCCCACGGCCGGCCTCCAGAGCGTCTCTCTCAGCTCCGGCCCCACGGCCGGCCTCCAGAGACTTTTTGTTGCCCTCGCCCACCCTGGGTGGGTTGTTTTGATTTTCGGACTCTGTTCTGTTTTTGTGCCTGGTTCCCCCTCCGCCCACCCTGGGTGGGTTGTTTTTAGTTTCTGGACATTTTAGGGTGTCTGGGATCCGCCCTTAGGTGGGGGGTACTGTCATGGTCCTGGTCTGATTGTTCCTCTTATCCATTTGTTGTCCTCTGCTGCCCTCTTGTGTCCTCCCTTCCTCTGTTTCTCTGTCCTGCCAAGCACCTGCTGCCAATTTCCTCGTCAGCTCTCTCTCTGTCTCTGTCCCCTTTAAAAGCCCTCCCTGTTCAGTTCCTGTTTGCTGGATCCTCGTCAAACATCCTGTCTAACTTCTGTCTGTGTAACTCATCCCTCCCTGGCTCCTAGTTTGGATTTACCACTGATGTCTCCTTGGTTCAGGTTTGTTTGCTGTTTACTTTTGGACTCTGATTCCTGCTCCTGGATCTGTGAACTTTAATAAAACCACTTTAATTCACCTCTGCCTACTGGTCCCTGCGTTTGGGTCCTCCATACAAACAGTGACTCATGACAGAAAACAACCTTTTTAAAAAGACCAAAATGTTTCTGGTGACATTTAATCTTTTATTTTGTTTTTATTAATTTTGTTAAATACCAGATTAAAAAAAAATATAAAATTTTATTTAAAGGTACACTATGCAACCGGTGTTGATTTTCCAGCGAGGCTCCCCCCAGAGGGCGAAAGTAAAAGTGCACTGTCGTAAATATGCACAGCTGTTCTCCTGGTTTCTCCGTCAAGCCAGGCGCGGTTGTTTTGAGCTTAGAACACAGGCGAACGCAAGGAATGATCTGACGCGCGTGACGCGCTGCAAACGCTCTGCTGCTCGAGATGGAAAAATTGAATTTTTGCTGCTCGACGCGCCGCGTCAACCAATCAGAGAAGCTGATCTGGGAGCTGGCAGGGAGAGAGACACAGCGCTGATGATCAGAGCACTCCTCTTAAACAGTTTATTGACGCCTAAATTAACTTAAAATGCAGAAATCTGCCGGCAGAATATGTTCGCTTTTATTATCCTGCTGCCTGCAGTTTGGATTATTTAGATGAAAAACACCTACCAGCTGCCGCGGTGAACCGCGAGGAGGCCACCCGGCCAGAGGCTGCTGATGAAGGGATTCCAACTGTCGGCGCATCCCTGGTATGTGGGGGTCTGAGCGGCTCCGACAGAAAAAATATTGTAAGGCAGGATGATAATCTGAATGAACTGACTGCACTGATTACGTTTTCAGGTGGATTTTCTCACTTAAAAACATATTAAAACTACTTTATTCCCACTGATCACAGCAAATATAGCTGCAAGGCAGAGAAAGGATAGTGAAGCTCCGCCCAACGCGTCTGAGACACCCTTTTGCAGCGCAGCCAGAGCAGCAAAGCAGCTTCAGCCGTGCGTCAGAACTAACTGGTACAAGCAGTAAAAATGAAGCAGAAGACGCAATTTTGCTGCGTCCGGTGTGAAAGCAGCACTGCACAAAGATCGCCACTGTGCTAGCAACGAGCATGCTTTTAACTGGGGGGTGTAGCAGTTCTCGCCGTAAAGCAAGACCGACTCTCGCGAGACTTCTGAGCCTGTGGGTGCGGGTCGGTGCTCCTGCAATTGCAAGTGCAGTATTTCCCCCACAGACCACCAGGGCGGCCGAGAATACCTTTGTTCAACCTGAAATGACTCATTTAATCATCCAAAACGTTATGGAACACATTAATTAACTGAAAAATGTTGCATAGTGTGCCTTTAATAGAATTTTTTTTTATTGGAATAGAGAAAAAGAAAAACATTTATTCCAATAAACACCTAAACCTAAAAATGTATTTTAGGAACAGATGAGATCCTAAAAATCAGACAACCACCCATTAAAACAGACGATCGGTTGAGGTGGATTTCTACTGAAGGTCGCATTTGCTGAATTAAAAAAAGATGCAACAAAGATGAAGATGACTTCCTGAAGCTCAGAGGAATTAGCAGTGAGCATGTTTGTTAGTCTGATGGGTTAAGTGTCTTCATGGCGTTCTTCTTTATCTTTTATGGAGAGATTCAGAAGAAACCAAATCAACTGTTAACATCTGGGAGACTAAGTGGAGGTAGAGGGGCAGCAGAAGTACGTCACATGGAAAACAAGCTAGACTGGAGGCAAAGCTGAGAAGGCGTCTATGCTCAGTGTGAGGGATTACTGGAAAGTTAGTGAAAGAATAAAATAAACTGTTAAAAAATGTTGATAAATCAATGAACAAATCCTGCAGAGTCCAGGACGGCGTGCAGTTACTGTAGCTGGTCTCCTCACATAAAAAAACCTTGAACTAAATAGTTTGGATGATTTGATTGATAGATTGATAGAGCTTTAAGATGGTTGTAAATGATGCTTAATAAATAAACAGGTTTAGTATTAGTGTTGGGATACGATTAAGGTGTTTAATCGACTTAATTACAGGGTCTGTAATTAATCAATAGCACTTTGATCAAATATATATATCTAAAAATAAACAAACCTTTCTATTCAAAAACTCTTTTTGCACCTTAATTGAATCAATAATGTTATGAGGACAACAACACAAATTCCTTCTATTTAATTGGTTCAACCTGGTTAAAAGTTATAATTCTAGCTTCATTTAGAAGCCCCTAATATTTTCTTCTATTACGTTTATTTCTATAGCACCAATTCACAATACAAGTCATCTCAGGTCACTTGACAAAGACGGTTCAGTCAGATCGGTTTGGAAAACCAGCTGATTGCATCCAGTCAGTGACTGAAAGACCTGCTCCTCCTGGATGAGCCTGCAGAGACGATTTTCACTTGCTCTTGACTCTTCAGCAATCCCTCACACTAAGCATGCTTGTAGCCACAGTGGAGAGGAAAAACTCCTTTTAAACAGGAAGAAACCTCCAGCAGAACCAGGCTCAGTGTGAGCGGCCATCTGCTGAGGCCGACTTGGCTTCAAGGAGACAGAAGCAGACATAGAAAAAGAAGCAAAGATACAAAAGGTAGCTGTCAACCAGCTCCACAGGGGGCCCCATCCAGGAAACACACAGCCAGGCAGATGAGCTCCGAGCCAGCTCCCATGTCAGAGGATGAAGAGAGCACATCCAGTTAGTTACAGTCAGAGAAACAGGACTACACTGAAAAACAGGCCAAGCTCCAACATCTAGAAACAAAGGTATTGATGGCAGCAGCACAGCTGATATTTCTCTCCAGGATGGAGTCAAAGCCAAACAGGAACAGACCAGATGAAGCTACTATGAGAAAAAGCAGAGAGAGCAGAACGTTAGAGAAATAATAGATTCTGCAGAGTGGGAGAATAGAGATAGAATGAAGCAGAATGATGAAATAGGGGTCCCTATGTCCTCCAGCAGTCTAAGCCTATAGCAGCATAACTATAGAGATAGCTCAGGATAACCTGAGCCACTCTAACTAGAAGCTTTATCAAAAAGGAAAGTTTTAAGCCTAGCCTTAAAAGTAGACAGGGTGTCTGCCTCACGGAATAAAACTGGTAGTTGGTTCCACAGGAGAGGAGCCTGATAACTAAAAGATCTGCCTCCCATTCTACTTTTAGAAATTCTAGGAACCACTAGTAAACCTGCAGATTGAGAGCGAAGTGCTCTGTTAGGAACATAAGGAACAATCAGATCTCTGATATCAGATGGAGCTTGGGCATTTAAGGCTTTATATGTGAGAAGGAGGATTTTAAATTCTATTCTTGATTCAGAAAGAACGTACATGACCATGAAATCCTGCAACATTCTTTTTAACTTGTTGAATATAAAGAAGGATTCTACATAATTTTTCCTGAGATTAGAATTCTAATTCAAAGCAATGAATAATTAAACATCATCCTGTAAAGTGAATGAATCAAACATACTAGGGAATAAAAAAGAAAAACATGCATTCAACCTGGTGGCAAAAGGAAAAAATACCTTTATCAATCAAGGGAGAAAAAGCCCAGAAAGGTAGAAAAAACTTGGAATAAAATGCTTCGACTAAAATGGTCATTTCTGGATCATTTAATTACAGGTTCATTAAATAAATGCAGATGCTTAGTTACGTAATACGGACAGAAAACTATTGTTAATGTAAAAAAAAAAAAATAGTAAAAGAAACCAGGAAGAAGATGGGAAATGAGCTGTTGGAAAAAGAATGACCAGAGACAGAGGTTTTAGAGAAAGAGGGAAATGCTGAGCATCGTTGAGCAGAAAACCACCGATTGTTTAGGAAAATGCATCAAACAAAGACGCAGGATGTTTTCAGCAGGCTTTCTAATAAAAGGAGGCACAATTCAGTCTATTCTAAGAGGATGTTTCTCTATTGTGTTTCATTGCTATGACGTCCAGGGGTTATATCATCTTTGCTCTTTTTGAAATACTAATCTCAAGTTCATCTCTTAAATCAGGCATCCTAAATAACGTCCTTTACCTGCAGAAATTCTTTATAGAACGCTAAACCCTTGACAAAAATTTCACGAGCACTGCAAGTCTGACATCATACAGCATTAACAGAAATATGATAAATGTGAGGCGGTCTATACCATTGGTGCCATGAGAAAAAGTTTATGGTGTAAAATCCACAGTAAGCTTAACAATTACTGAAACACAAGCCCAACACTGTAGTCTGCCATTAGTGTTGGATTTATTTGGGCAAGTTTGTTAAGAAGGTAGTGAATTCTAAGGTGGTTCATATGTCAGAGTCTGTAAAATGTGACTGTAGAGCTAGATTCTGTAGAACCTAAATGCTAAGAACTGAATCTATAGAACTGGAGCATAAAGAACTGGACTCTGTAGAGTCTGACTCTGTAGCAGTGTTGTGGTCAAGACCACCTAACCTGAAACCAAGACAAGACCAAGACCAGAGTGTATCGAGACCGAGACAAGACCAAGACTTTTAGGGTCCAAGACCAAGTCAAGACCAAGACCGAGGGAAGTCGAGACCGAGTCAAGACCAAGACCAGCGCCAGTATGTGACAATAAAATGTGAAACATGTTCAAAATGACTAAAATTGATCTAAAGGACCCACATTCACATAAAAACACCTAGATATTTAACACACAGAACTGGAATAAACATAAACATCTTTATTTGGTACTTCTGTGTAGTAATCACAGAATTTCAAACAATTAATCAAAGTCGATCAAAATGGTACTTTCTCTGCCTTTCATGAACAGTACATACATTTATGTTGTTTTTAAATGTGTTAATTCAAAACAATGTGCAAATGTGTAAAACTGACAAAATGCCAATCATTTGTCTTGTTTCTCTCTCATATACGGATTAAAGCTATATTATATAACTTTTCTTAAATAAATCCATATCTGTCACCAAGTTGTGAAAATATGTTATGAGACAGATAATTTGTTGAAAAAAATAAATTGATCTACTTCACTTCCTCCCTGAGCTACTACTGACATCTGCAGAAATATAAACAAACCCCACTGAAATACAAAGTGCACAAAAGCCTGACTGACTTTTTTCAGTTCTAAGACCCTGTTGCTGAATCAGATGGTTTGTTTTTGACCAAGCAGTGTATTTCTCTAGTTAGCACTGGGAACATGGAGAAAAGGCAGAAGTGCTCAATATTTTCACAGCTTGTCGGTCTCATAACATACTGTCACAACATAATGACTTAAATATGTACGTAGCTTACCTTTCTTTGTGCTGTCTTTCAAGGTTTCGATAAAAGTTGGACGTAGTCCCTACCGTTTCTGATAGTGAAGCACTGCAGAACTTACATTGCGCTGTATGCTTTTTTCTCAATGTTGCTTTACAAATATATTCTTTGTGATTTTATATGATTTTTTATATTCTTTGTGATAATATTCTGATCATTAGCGTTATTTCCACAGTTGTGGTCTTGACCAGTCTTGAAATAAAATGCCAAGTCCTCGGCGCCCGAGACCAAGACAAGACCGAGACCATCAAAAAATGGTCTCGAGACCAAGACCAATCTCAAGTACTACAACACTGCTCTGTAGGACTGGACAGCAGGACGGCCTTTCCTCTTTATACGGTGCTTAAGTAAAGGGTCTGATTGTCAGAATAGAAACCCATCACCTGAACCAAATGCTACTCACGTCACTTAAATAAGTTTGCTTGGAGCTTAAACTTTTGGTGGTCCTCAGATGTGATCTTACATAAGACCTCCCATTATGATTCAAAGGACCAATCACGGAGCCCATGCACAACAAAAGGCTCCAACAATCCAGAAGAACAAAGGGTGGCTATTTAATGATTGGATTGTGTGCAGGAGGAAAGACCTCCATGCTGCTGAAGTACATCAGGCCTCCAACTACAGATTGATCTAGTGCAAGTCGACAGAATGACAAAGACTCCTGGAGAGGTGAGGAAAGGTCTTCAAAAAACTGAGCGAAAGTCTGGTTGGGTTCCAATTTAAGCCTGTTTGTGGTTCATTTTTACTGCCTTTGATTTGAAGAATGCAGGTATGTCTGCTGTGTAAGACAGCCATGCTTGTGGTCTGTGAGAGGAGCTTTTGTTCTCAAGTAAGTTTGTTTAGGTGGAAATGTCTGAAAGACATTAGGAAGTCAGAGCACTCCAAACATTAAAATAAGAATCTATTTTTCTTTGACAAGGTGCATCATCCCTCTTTCTGAGCAGGTAAGTAGAACAATTTGCCAACAACATAAGATAATTTATGTTTAAAATAGAAAAAAAACTTCTCTGTTATATTATTTCCATTTGATATGATCTGATTATGATATTTTAAGAGCACTGTGATTATCTCAGTCTTGCCAACATGTGTCCTACCTGTACATTTCTTTGGGCTTCCAAGTCTCTTGCCATGCATCCCCAGCTTACAGGCAAAGTTTTCCTCCCAGAACTCGGCAAACCAGATATTTCTCCGATTGTTGGACAGAGATCGGCTCTTGAAGTAACGGTCAAACGCTACCCAGATACAAAAAACATTTCAGTCACAGCACAGAGGAAAGTTCGTTATGTGGTCATGGTTTTGCTGTCTCACCCTCCACAGACGTCCGCTTTGGGAGGATGGTGATAGCGCCTTTGGCCACCTGCTCCTGCCTGACCACTGGGGAAATCTTAGAGCCCCAGCTGTCAGAGCCCACCCACAGGAAGTGTCCTGTTAAGTTGTTGCGGTTTGCTGCATCCAGGATTCGCCTGTTAGGGTCACAGACAAGAGATAATAGGAAAGTTGTTTTTGAAAATCAAAGACCATATCTGTTTTATTGCAACGATTCCACACAGTCTCCGGTAGGCCTATTCATGGATGCACATTCTAATAGAAGATCTTGCCAATAGTGGAACAGTAATGAAAGAAAAGAGTTGGCGGGTCATAAAAACAAGCCTTAAATTGGGGACCTTAGCTCAAATTTTCTGAAAGTGTTACAGTGTTATAAGAATAAAATTAGGTGGTTAAATGTGTTAAATGAAAAAAAAAAAGAATAGAGGTTAATAATAAGAACAGCTTAAATGAATGACATAAACAAAACCTTCAATCAGAAGCCACAGGGCTGAAAGATGGAGGGACCTAAAGCTGGACACCCTCAGAGAGTTTCCCAGGAAATAGAGACAGATAAGAGGACAGTGAGTTCCGATCATGATCCATCAGCTCATTCACAGCACGTCAGGGAATTATAAACTGGGTCATGGTTATTTCTTTATGGATCTGTTCCCATGACAACATGTCGCCAGTGGATGCAGCAACCATGGAGGCAGAAATAAGAAAGTTAGGAATGTATACAAACCAGCCAAAGGCTGGAAAGATTGGACTAAAATCCGTCCAAAACCAGCAGAGACTGATATTGTTCCACAGAAAGTGCCCTCTTAAGATTTGTGCACTCAAGCTGGTTCTATGTACTGTAGGCCTATGGGATCTATTCCTGGCCTGAGAAAGGAGACGGACCCTGAAGTAGTCTCTGAAGAGGGTTTTGCTCCCCAGAGCATCAGATTAATATAATTCATTCTCAAATGAAGCATAATACTAGACCTCTAAAGGTGAACCAACTGTGAGCACGGATAAGAAGTTGGGAGACCTTTTCATTGCTGATTTTATTCCAGACTCACGGATAAACATGGAGAAGTGTAGTGAAATCAGAAAGCTTTTTCTCCCAACAATACCGTCCAGAGACACACGCTGACAGAGGTTTGAATGTCTCCCTCTGAGTTTGCTGCTTCCCAGCTTATCCCAGTAGAGGGGGATTGCTGAAACACAGTGTTTGCTCTGGGTTGTTTGAAGTTAGATTTTTAGAATACCTAGGTAGCTAAACTTCTTCTTTTGGGGTCTCTTAGGACCCAATTCAGCAGCTTACGCTTAGATGGAGCATAGTGAGATCAGTGTATTATTTTCATCGTGCTTTAAACTAATGAGGAACTAAGAAGAACTTGGCTGCAACATAGTGATTGAACCAATCAGTAAAAATGATTCATGTTTCCTCTTAACTTTGGAAAATGATACACTGCTGCTCAGACTCCAACATGCTTGGGGTCCGTTTCATAAAGCATGTATAACAAACAGATTCAAATCCTCAACTCTAAATTCATCTAGCCTAAAGTCGGGAAGTCTGAGTGTTTGGTTTCACAACGGCTGTTATCGATTCGTTCAATCAGTTTTAATTAGGTCCACTTACAGTTAAACGAGTGTGCAACAAGCCTATAATGCCATCAGTAGAGCACCAATTGGACAAGTCACCATGACAACAGGCAACAGGAAGTCCCCTTTTCACCCTACTGGAACTGAAGATTTTAATGCAGAAATGAAAAAAAAAGAATGGAGAATGTGTTTAAAAGACAGAGAAACAGAGGTACAGCTACAAAGGAGAGGAAGATGGAGAAGGAGGAGATTGTTGCTCCTGTTAATGTGTAAATTAATGAAGTGGGCTATGGCAGGCCGTTTTTACATTTATTAAAAGCCCTCTCCTCTCTGTTGTTCCATTTGTAGATCACTAAAATAGATTCTTCCTGATCAAAATCAGACTCCTAGACTGTTATAATAGATTTTCTAAATTACATTTACAGCTTGCTGGACATTATCATGAATTTATAATCCCCCTCCGGACGCCCCGGAGAGAATGTAAAATGTGATCATGTCCGAGCAAAAGAGGACGTTTGGTCACCCTACTCTACCAGCCCGGTCAGCCAGAGCCCTCCTTACTTCCTCAGGGAGACCTAACACATGTCCAAACAAGCCTGAGGCCAAATAAGTGATTGCCTAAGGTCCAAACTACAAAAGAGGGCGATGCAGCAACCACTCAAATGGACCTATTGTCTAAAGCACTGAAAATGAAAATGGAGCCTACCTGATCCAATGTTAGATGGTAAAATGTCGAATTAAACCAGCCCGAGAATGAATGGTAGCAGATTCCTGTAGCTACAGTTGAGCTCGCTAATGTTATAACCTGTGTTATCTGGAGATCTTACACTTTGTTAAAATAAGACACCCACAGTTCAAAATGACAGTTGGTGAGGATGTGGGATGTTCTCACCGTATGTCGTCCTCATTGGCGAACATTATGACAGCGCGGGCGTTTGGGGTCTCCAGCAGCCGAAGGACTATCTTGTCAAACTCTCCAGGTCTCGGCTCCCGAGGAATCTTCAAGGACTGAGCAATGCACACACCGCCTAATGAGAGGAACAAGAGAAAAACATAAAAAAGTATATTAAATGATCATAATATTCTTTGATAAAAGAGAGAAAGGGGTCTCTGCAGTGCCTGGAAGGGAATTTATCTGGTGTGGGAAGAGTTTTAGAAGGACTGATTGGCTGGACTGATTTACAGTTAAATTAACTACCAGGAAATGCATTTTTTAGAAATATTAATGTTTAGATGGTATTTCTGATTGATTTTTGATCCTTAAAGTTTTAAAGTATATTGTAACTTTTACTAATATGCTTTCAGCTCCTATTTTTAGCATGACTAAAGGCGGGTGTATTTGCTCAAAACATGAGGTCAAATTGTGACAGGCTAGAGGGCTATAAAGTGAAGCCTGCGTGATGCTGAAACGATCCAAGAGGTAACGCTCCAGGCAGGGGCGGATTTACCATTAGGCAAAACTAGCTAGTTGCCTAGGGCCCCGAGTTCCTGGTGGGCCCCCTAAAACTCCTTTTACATGTATGGTTAATAGAGCTATTACTTATTTGTGCACATTAATTATGTTTTTGATAAAAATCCTTTCGCTAAAATGCCATTAGAATGCTTATAATATTAAGTGTGTCTCGGGGCCCCCCCTACAGTGTCCACTACATTGGTTCAGTCCATTTGCTGCGCATGGGCAGAAAGGTCCAAACACATGGCAGCAAACTATTTGAAAACAAACGGCGCAAAGAGACGATACGAGCAGAGCGGGGGAGAAGAGAAAAGAAAAGAAAGGGAAAGAAAGATGAAAAGAAGTTACCCTAGCGGTTCTGAAAAGAGGAGAAAGAAGAATGAAAGTAGGAAGCTGCTTTCAAAGTTACCGAAAATGATTGACTTCGGCTTCTTCACTGCGGCAGCGGCAGCAGTAACCCGCAAACAGCTGAAAACGTCGAAGGGGACATTCCCCCTATATTGATAAGTATTTATTTACCTTATTGAAAATGGGTCATTTTAAATTAAGTTTCTAATTTCATTTGGATTTGCTACAAACGATGAAAAATCTATTATTTAGGTGTTTTTATGTTGAATTTCAGGAAAATATCAGGCTTTTAAATGTTGTAAAATCACCCATAAGTTTTAGGTGTTTTGGTCCTTAAAAATTTAAGTTATACATTCAAAAAACATAAGGAAGTTATTACCAACATCTCACTCTGCTTTACAGCTTTGTATTAACATTGCCTTAATGTGTGTTATTGTGTGCAGCTGGGGATGTTTAGGGTCACGTTAATTATCGATTAAATAATTTACTGTTCTGTAGTTAAAGCAATTGTCAAATTTGAAACATCACTAGTCTTTCCTGTGACATGCACGTTTTATTTTTTGTATATATATATATATATATATGACAGAGAGATTCTTTCCTCTGAGTTACAGTGACATAGACAAACTTGAAGATACATGACATCCTCAAATTTCTACTTTAGCAATTGAGTAAATATACTTATATTTAACCACTGGGTAAAAGGCAAAAGAAAACAGAAGAAAACCACAAGAAAAAGTATAACAAGAGAGGGACAAAAGGTAGAACAAATAATCTAAGTCTATTCTATTAAAATTTCTGTATCTGTATAATGGGTCTGTTCTATATGTTGTCTTCTCAATTTAGAGGACCCCATGCCTGTCTTTGCCTAGGGCCCCAAATTTCCTAAATCCGCCCCTGGCTCCAGGCAATCACACAAAGATGACGTGGTATTGTATCTGCCTTTAGCCTTTAGCCTAGCATGTTAGAAAGGTTAACCTGCCCTCCCCATCCTCACCACCTTCTACAGAAGTAACAGGGAGATCCAGAAAATAGAGAGCTAAGTTCCTCCTGTTACACAGAATGGAAGCTTTGCTGAGACATTATCTCAGAATGCACCTTTATCGTGCAGAGAGAAATTACCAGTGATCAGTATTCAGAAGAGATGTGGCTGAGAAGTAAATACTGCCAGGTCTGAGGAGCATACAGTCTCAGGAAGATGGTTCTGGAACAAGTAGGAGGGTTTTCTAAAGTCCTTCCTGCACGGTATAGCATTTTTGAAGTCAGTGCAAAACAACTAAAACCCCTTTAGGATGTCGCTGAAGTGTTTCAGGTCATGTCCTTTTTAACACCCACCTCCTGGAACCTAGAAAGTGGAGTAATGAGCTTTGTGAATCCGTCAAAACCATCATCAGAAATTTCCTAAACCATAAATCATCAGATGGATTCACCAGTGATCCATCTGCATGGATGAGCTTTTTCTGTGGATCCACGGTTTAAGGCCAAACACATCATGAGTATGTGAATGGACACAGTAGAACATAAAATCCTTGCAGGGGAAGTCTCTCTCAGGGATCAGTTTTCGGTTGGTCCTTGGTGTCCAACTCTGCTACTCAGGGTCACTGTCCTAGAGGTCTTCTCTCTTGAATGCACCTCACACATGGATAAGTTAGAATGATTTGCAGCACACAATGACTTCTTAGGAGTGAGAATCCTCTGAATCAGGTAGGCTGAAAGCAGAAAAATATTTTTCCCATACAAGAAAGGGCCTTAAGGATGAGGGTGGAACCACCGCTGTAGAGAATCAGAGTCTACCAAGTCCTGGCTGTCCTGTAGGATCAGGCCACACAATGCTTTAAAACTAGAACGCACACACATACATGCTGTGTTACGCTATCCCTATGGGGACTTTCTATTGACTTTGATTAATATCTACATTTCTATGGCCTAAACCTGACCCTTACCCTTACACTAACCATTGGCTACAAATACCTAACTCTAACCCTAACCTAAACCCGCTGCAGATGTTCACTGGGATTAATGGCATGTAGGACAAACCAAGTAAATGACAGAAACATCTGACTCTGCAGGTGAACTCAGCCGTAAAATATTTCACAGCAGGAGTCTCTGCAGACAGAGCAAAGCCACAGACATATGGAGCTGTGCTGTCAAAGGGAGTTATTTCCCAATGCCAGATATGATTAAAGCAAGCCTTCAAGTGACCTTTTTAATGAACAGCTTAGTTTGACACCAAGTGTTTCTCTGTGTGCACTACCAGGCCCTGGGTGCCCACTCACCTTTCATTCCTTGTCTCAGAGCCACAGAAGGTTGAGCGCTGAAAGGTTTCCTGGGTAACAGGTGTGCAGTCCTGACTCTAAAGCCAGATTCAAACAAGAGCAGCAATGAGTCTACATGCTGTCAGACCCACTGAAGGTAAAAACCCTCAAACTTCAAAAAGTTTGTTTTTCTATCACACCCAATCTAAAAGCTACAGCTGCAATTGTCTAATCTAATTTTCTCTTTGGGGCCCAGTAGATAGGGTAAGGTTTCTGTCAATGTGGTAAAAAAGGACTGAACATGAACAGGTGAGAGCGGATGTAACCAGAGAGATAGTGGCGGTATATTAAACTGGACCAAACAATGACAGGACCCAAAATAATGACTAAAATACAAGGATTATTCTATTCAGTTTATCTCTATAGCTGCAATTCACATCATGTCTTCTCAGTTCACTTTATAGAGAAACTTCATCCAGATCATCCAGTCAGATTGGCTCAAAGTTTTCTACCTAAGGAAAACAAGTTGATTGCTTCAACTCATTGACTCTTCAGCAATCCCTCACACTAAGCATGCTTGTAGCCACAGTGGAGAGGAAAAACTCCCTTTGAACAGGAAGAAACCTCCAGCAGAACCAGGCTCAATGTGAGCGGCCATCTGCTGAGGCCGACTTGGGTTCAAGGAGACAGAAGCAGCCATAGAAAAAGAAGCATCAATAAAAAGCCAACTGTCATTAAAAAAAAGTTTAAAACAAACTTTTTTTTTTTCAAATTTGAAGGCGTTTCGCATACTATCAAGAAAGCTTTCCCATTTCAAAATGTCTGGAGTAATATTGGGCTCCAGGCTTTATATAATTGCCCCAAAAAAGGCAACTGTCAACCAGCTCTACTCTCCAGAAAACAAACAGTCAGACAGGATTAAAGGACTAATGTCCAAGCAGGATCTAGAAAAACAGTCTAAGCCTACAGCAGCATAACTATAGAGATAGAATGAAGCGGAACGATGAAAACGGGGTCCCTATGTCCTCCAGCAGTCTAAGCCTATAGCAGCATAACTATAGAGATAGCTCAGGATAACCTGAGCCACTCTAACTATAAGCTTAATCAAAAAGGAAAGTTTCAAGCCTAGCCTTAAAGGTAGGTTTCTGCCTAAAACTGGTAGTTGGTTCCACAGGAGAAGAGCCTGATAACTAAAGATCTGCCTCCCATTCTACTTTTAGAAATTCTAGGAAGTCAAATTTAAAAAGCCATTAGTTTAAAGCCACTTTTGACTGTTAGAGATAAGCTTTTAACTGAGGAATCATTAGTTTGAGGTTGTGGTCCTACTGTTTTGCTTTACTACCTGCTTTTATCTTTTTTATCTGTATTTGCTTTTATTTTGCTTTTATTATCTTCTATTTAATTGTTTAAGTAATGTGAAGCACTTTGAATCATCCATGTACTAAATTGTGCTATAAAAATAAAGTTGCCCTGCCTTGCCTTCATTCTATCTCTATTCTCCCACTCTGCAGAATCTGTTAGTTCAATCTCTAACGTTCTGCTCTCTCTGCTTTTTCTCCTAGTAGCTTCATCTGGTCTCTTCCTGTTTGGCTGTGACTCCATCCTGGAGAGAAATATCAGCTGTGCTGCTGCCATCAATACCTTTGTTTCTAGATGTTGCAGATCGGCCTGTTTTTAAGTCTGTTGTCCTTTCTCTCCAAGACATAGCTAAGGGTTCAGCTGAGTTTTTCCTCTCCACTGTTGTTGCATGCATGTTAGGTGTGAGGGATTGCTGTTGAGTCAATAAGTCAAAGCTGTTCTTTCTTAGAAAATCAAACCAAACTGACAGGATGATCTGGTTGACTCGTCTCTGTGAAGTGGCCTGAGATTATGTGTTTAGCCTAGATAAAGAGGTGGATGGCTGTGCTTATTTTCATAACACAGTGGTCTTTTAAAACACCCTTTTTAAAGTAAATCCTTTGAAAATTGAATG